ACTGCTTTTACAGCTTCATGCTTTAATAAAAGGTGGAATTTTGGTCCTCACTGTCTGACAGCAGGTCTCAGAGAGTTCAGGATTTTCTGCAAACTTTGCTTCCAAAGTATCCAGGATAGAAGCAAACATATTTGTCATGTTGAAACTCTATTCCAATAACACTATTTAATGTGTTCGTATTACGAGATGCTGTCATTTGTTTGCTGCAGCTGTACAGTGAAAGGTTTTTACCTCAAAACTGAGCTGAACTCTGATATTTCGGTAGATGTCTGTCCTCTTCGTAGCCACATTCCACCAGTCCGATGAGGTAGAGTTTAGAGGTAAACTGGAGCCGGCGAGTCTACGACGCCTCATGCATCAAACTCTTTTCATGCAGACTGAGCATCAGTTCTGAGCCAGTCCCAGCATGCACGGAGGCAGAATCCTCCCGGATAAACATATTTACATCAATTTGGAGCTTCCAGTTCATTACACCTGAATGTTTTTGACCTTTGCGAGGAAAGCAACCCGAAACAAACTCGTTTCAAACCCAACAGCTTGTGAGAGAAGCGTGCAGTTCAATGAGCCGTCGTGCTGCTGGAACTTCCCAAGACAAGCACCTCCAAACATGACACGGGCATCTGCAACAGAAGCTCATCAGCAGAGGGGAGGCGGGGGGACGAATTTGCAAAATTGGACGCCTGTCAGATAAAGAAAACAAAACTAACCGCATCGTGTAAACACACACACACACACGCCCACGCAACTTCCTGATACAATCACCTGAAGAAACAACAAAACAGCTCATATCTCCCTGCCAGTGAGCTGAAACAGACGTGAATGAGGGATGACGTTTCAACACATTCGTGATTCCTCGCCGACGGATGCAACATGCGGTGCTCTCTGGCCTGACATGTGGCTGCAAAGTGGATCCGTACTGCTGTCAATGAGCTGCTATAATTAAACTAATTATTCAGAAATACTAACAGACTAAGTAACAAACTGCTGATTAAACTAGAAAAACAGCCCGAAATGTCTCTTTAAAAACATTTTTTTGACTCATTAACCCTCAAGTTCTATAATTAGACGGCAAAGAGTCCACGAAGACTGCAGTTGCTCTTATCAGTAAGTCCGTCAATCAGTGTCCACAGAATGTAAACAGGCTCGCCGAGCGGTTCTGCAGCTCAGGTTTGGCAGGTTAAGAGGCGACGTGAAGATTAATAGTGAAAATAACGATAAAGTCTAGAGAGAGGCAATGAGCAGAATCTAAAAGTCAACACGGAGCCAATGTAAGGAGGCTATAATGTGGCTTATGTTATCGCCTTTATTTGATTTGGAGAACAAAACTGGCTGCAGCGTTCTGTATGAGTTCAAGGTGTGAACAGTCTCGGAGGCAAACAGAGCTACATTAATCAAATCTAGGGAGATAAAGCTCGAGTAGCTTTTAGAAATCTGGAGTTAAAGATAACTTCACAATTTGGGGCACTAGGTTTAAACTTATGAGATTATTTTTGTTGTTTCTGTGCTTGGTTGGTAAAACTTGATTAAGAGCATCATTAGGACATTTTCAAGGAGCTTGCATGTACATTTAGTTGTGTGTTATCTGCAGCAGTGGAAAAGCTATGGATTGTTTCTTTAAGAGGAAGCAGATACGAAATAAAGCGAGGATCTATTACGGAGCCCTGAGGTACTCCACAGTACAGAGGAGGCAGAAATATCACTAAAAGTGGGATGTTGAACAGAGTTTTAGTGAAAATACTGAAAGAAGAAGCACATACAGCCGATAAAAAATAAAGTGGGGCTCTGTACTGTGGAGTACCTCAACTCCACAGTACAGAGGAGGCAGAAAATATCACCAAAAGTGGGATGTTGAACAGAGTTTTTAGTGAAAATACTAAAAGAAGAAGCACATACAGCAGGTAAAAAATAAAGTGGGGCTCTATTACGGAGCCCTGAGGTACTCCATGGTATAGAGGAGGCGGAAAACTCACAGGATTTGGAAAGAAAATTCTGACAGAAGAAGAGGCAGCATATGTTATATCATCTTTAAAACTCTGGCTCGGGTGTTGTTCTTTATTTTTTTCTAGATTTGCCTTTAAGTTTTGAGCTTCTTTACACTCTCAGCTCATGAGTCATCGCCGACTGAAACAAGACTGGGCAGGCCTGGTTCGGTCAGACTGTCAGTAAAGCCTGTTGGTGAGATTCAGAGTGGCACGTTTCTGGCGTTTTTTCATTGGCTGCCGTACAATCGACTAAACGTGATGCGCTCGGTGATTGAAGGGAAGTTGCTCGCCTGTTTATTGTCGCTGCTTGCGTCACAGCATGACATAAATCCTGGCAAATCTACAAATACATGCTGACTAAGAAACACTGTGGTGATTTTAAGTGCTGTGGTTTCAGGACGGGGTTAAAAAAGAACATATTTCAGCTGTTTATTCTGAATTTCTTGGGAATTATTGGTTGAATTTTCCCTCTTCAGGCCTCAGAACACTGTTCAGACGTTTAACCGATGATGTGCAATAAAGTCGAGATCTTCTTGAAACTGTTGCACATTTCAAGGATGATTGTTTGTTAGTTGGAAAAACACAATCAGTGGAAACATGATCTTGAAATCCTGCAAAATACAACCACATAAAGCATCTAGAGGAGCTTTAGAGTTTCATCATTTTGTTATCATCTGAATACCAAATCACCCTTCAGGTTCCCATGATTGCACTGCTATAGCTTGTTAGATGGACGCAGGTCAACTTTTCTTAAAATGTGCCACTAAAAACTAGTTTCTTCACCTGCTTTACAGATGCTGTGACGTTAAAGTGTCGGTCTGACCTTCCTATAAAAGCTCCAGGACAATAAAGTGTATAAAATGCTCCAAAGTTGTCGTTTCCTTTTAACTAAACCTCCTGAAACCTGATCCTGCAGCCAGTTTGTGCACCATTTGACTAAAACAACGCGCCATAAAACACTACTTCCCTGTGACAGCGCTTACTGGTCAGCGTCCTTGTGTAATTCCTTCAATCTCCAACTGTTTTGTTGTGTTTACTATTCTCACTGCTTATTTTACAGCTTGTTTGTCTTGTGTGTCGCTGCATCCTGCTGCTGCTGCAACAGGTCAAACTTCCCCACCGGGCTCCATAAAGGCTCCATCTTATCTGTTTACGACCACGCCGAGCTCCGTTTTTTTGCCCTCGCGTCGGTTCGCGCGTTCGCTCTTTCTTTGGCCGCCGCTGTTTTCACGCTGCAGGAGCCCCGACGGCTTTTAATCGCATGAGTAAATCTCCCAAATCCAGGTCTGAGGCCGCTGGGAATCCACAGGTTTCATCTTACAGGAGGGAAACACATCGAAACCGGCCGCCTTCCCCCATTCTGCAAAAAAAAAAAAAAAACCTTCCTCCTCCTACATCCTCCTGAGAAGGAACTAAAAAAGCAGGAGTAACTGGTTTGGCCTTGGTTTAGCAGCGCGTCTTCCCTCTTTTTTTCCTCTTTTCTTCGTCTCCTCCCTCCCGTCTTTGTTCTCTCTCTGGGGAAGCTGGGAGGACAAGCACCGGCACGTCGCAAACATGGTGGAAAAAACAAACAAAAAAGCCAACCAATGTCGCTTCTGCGTCGCTCTTCCTTTTCATTGTGCTCTCGTTCATCTCTATTATTGTAAATGGGCGTATCGAAACTGGCAAAGTGACAAAATATGCAACATAACGATAATAACTCGGCATTAAGCAACTGACCTTAGAGCACAATGGTTGCAGACGTATGACTGCGACTGGGTGTTTGCGGGTTTGGATCCCAGGATTAGACAGAAATATGCGGCCGCGAACGGTCGACTAACATGATTCGTGCAAAGCCGAGCAAACGCTGAAAGTGCGAGAAATTGCAAATACGATGAAATTCTTGCAGCAGGGACGTCAAAAACTACTTTAAAATACAGTCATTTTCCATAATTAAAATAGTTTCGAGCCATAACTTGACTGAATGTATGTTTTTGTTTTGCTTTTTACTGATTAATGAAGGTTATTTACACGTACAAAAAAAATGAAATTACCTACAAATTGAATATTGTTTGAACACAAATAAATAGACTTAATACTGCAGAAAAGTGTCGTCATTAGTTGAGTTTCATTACATTATTTTATGCCAGAGATCTTATTTTAAAAAAAACAATTTAAATACTGTTGGAAAACTAGTAATTTAAGTACAAATTGCAAGAATTTAAATAAAAAAATAAAAATAAAAAACAGAACTTCAAATACAAAATGTATGTATTTGATAAGTCCACCTGTAAAATTAATGGACTTTGAAAAACGGTTAAACCACAGTTACTAAACAGTTATGATCAAAATTAGAACAATAGACTTTTAATTTGAGATCATATCAAGTAAAAAGAGTAAAAATCTTGTTTGACAGATTTTTAATGGAAAAAAAAAACCCGTCAACCGATTAAATTAACAGATTTACCTTCATCAAACCACCATTATCAAACACCTATTTATAATTACAATAATAAACTTTTAATTTTAAGTTTTTACACAAACCAGCACATAAAAGCTGCTGTTATTTCACATCAGACGTGTTATTTTGCAGCATGTTTTTGTATTTTTTTCTTTGATATTTTAGTGTATTTCAACAATATGTGAAACAAAATTTAAAAGTGGTGAAATTCTAGATTTTTTTTTGTCTGTTTTGCCAGCGCATCATCTCCTTGTTAATGTTAGTTCAGGCCGAATACACTCATTCATCAGCTACAAGACGTGTAGCTGCTCTTGCTGTTCTACTTTCTATTCTGCTCCATACATGCACCACAGATGGACGTATTCCAGTGCGGTTGGTGGGAAGGTTGCTGCTGGACGCTAAAATAACAAACTTGAACTATACCATCGGACAACAAAATGTACCCCAGTTGGACCTTAATGATCCCTCACATGGGTGCAGGAAGTGTGCAGCACCCTCAGTATCTCCAACAAACAGACTCTGATTCAGCCATCAGAGCGCTGACAGACAGTACTGAGCATTCAGGTCGGCTTTCTTACCCGTGTGTGTCCTTTGGTGTGCTTTCAGATGAGAGCTCTTTGTGTAAACTTTGGTGCAGCCTGCAAGGAAACCACAGAGATCATGAGTCGGGCGGACGGCGGAAATGCGCACACATGAAGTCAAGAAACAACTCTTGACTCGAGTTGTTTTTCAGTTTGACATTCAGGCGGATAAACAAGAGAGCAACTTAAAATCCACCGACCTGGCAAACAGGATCTTTGGCAAGAAAAGCTACATGGACCATTTAACGACTAATCCCTTCCAAGAACACGGTGAACGGATTAATTGGGACGCTATAAAAACCAACACAGATGATGAGCTTTGACTTGCAGATTGCAGGCGAAGAATCCTGTCGGCTGGTTTTAATGGAACTTAACCGTCGGTTGTCAAGTTCTGATTTTCAGGTTTCATGTTTTCAAAACACAGAAAAAATGGAAAGACGTGACGTCACATCTCCAAAAGAAATTCACTTGTTTTTATTATTCTTAGCCTGAAAATGTCTGCTTTGTTTTTTAAGCCGTCAACACTTAAGAAGCAAAGAAACTGGCCGTGAAACAAGCAGAATTTAATCGTATTTTTTGAGCCTTGAAGGTTGAATATGTGACTAAATTACCTCCTGTTGACTGATAAATGTCAAGTGTCCTGGAATTCTGGTTTTATGCGCAATTGTTTTCTTGGTGATTGATGTGTTCACATTGTTTTTATGTGACAGGGAGCTTTACTGACTGATTTATACTTTTGCAACTAAGCTTTATTTACACAACAGTGACACTGGCAGTAAATTAGACCAACTAGCGTGAGCGGTTTGGCTAAAACTTGCGTTTAGTAGTTATACGTTGACGAAACTTAAATCTTTCTGAGTGTGTGCATGTGTGAGTAATAAAGTGGGAGTAAATGGTGATGTGGTGGTTGGATATTTACTGTTTGGTCGGATCTATACGCTGCCCAAGGCTCTCTAGACGTGATCCTCATTACGAGGTGAGACAGAGAACATGTCGGGGAAGCAAAGTGCAGCATCTCCAACCAGCAGAGTGCCGGCGACACATGGACAATAAAAACTGAACTTTATTTAGGTTGCTTTAGGGCGACGCCACTGATCAGCTGCACATTAAAGTCCATTCAAACCAGATTGAAGCTGACACTGGTTGGAGGTCTGGGTAATAAAGTGTCATGTGTTTTCCCATCAAATACCAAAAACAAACAAAAGAGAGAGAAAACAGGCCAATTTCTGGTTTAAAAATTTTGAAAAAAAATCAGTTAAATTATGTAAAACAGAAAAAGAGCCACTTTTCCACTTTGTTATAATGGATTTTTAATATTAATGGACATTGGGGAAGGAGAAAATGTGTCCTGCTTTCTCTTTTTTGTTTGTTTTTTGCTGATTTAAAATGGAAAAACAACAAGGACGACAAAAAAGTTTGTTTTCAGTTTTTTTCATTGTTGGTTGAAAAAGGAAAAACTGAAAATATGCCAGTTTTCTTGTTTTTTGTTGATGGTTTAAAATGGAGAAAAAAAAAAGGTCAAATTGGCCTGTTGTCTCCTTTTTGTTTTTGTTTTAATCTGAAAAATTACGGCATGATTTTTGGGTTGTCGTCATCCCAGTTTGTGATTTTCTAATAATAATGGTCATTGGAAAAATTTAAAAATAAAAATAAAGTTTCCTGTGTTTTTCTCCATTGCTGGTTTAAATTGGTAAAATGAAAATGGTTTACAAGTGCAAAATAAAAAATAAATTCTGCAGTTTTCTTGTTTTTTGTGGTTGGTTTAAAGTAGGCGCCTCTTTCCATTTTTTGGTGCTGATTTAAAAACGTAAAAACAAGAAATGTTCCCATTTTCGGTCTCTTTTTCCTTGTTGGTTTAAAACAAAGAGAAATGGACCGGTTTTGGTATTTGATGGGAACCGGATCATATTTTAGTAGCTACTGGTCGGCATTGAGGACAGTTTTAAGGCACAGAAGTAGCTGAACTGGTGCTGCTGCAGAGTTCAGCTGGTTCATGTGCTCTGTGTTGGGTTTGCAGATCGTGTTTTGCCTGAAGCAGCAAAGCAGCTCAGACTGGCCCCGATGACACGACACGCTAATGACAGTAAATCAGTTTGTTTTTCTGCTCCTGATTTAGAACGAAACTCGTTGAACCTGGTTAAGTTTCTCTTCTCTAGAGTAAAATTATTGTCTCATTAGAAAATTCAAAGAATTGAAAAGTTAAGAAAAACACTTTATGGCAGATCACATACCGGGGTAGTCACAGAAGTGGATCCTCCTCTTCTCCAGCTCCGGGTTGTTCCTCCGGTTGTATTTTGGACCCGTCAGGATGCCCTGGCCGTGTGTCATCAGCATGGCGTGAGGAGACAACCCCGTCACCTTTATGCCTCCCAGACGCTGCTGGTACGGAGGCGGAGGCTGCGGCGCTAAGCTCAGCAGCTCCGCCTGGCCGTCTGGGCTCCCCGGCTGGGAGTTGGGGGGCGACGGCGGTAGGCTGTGGGGCGCCGTGTGCTGGGGAACGTTGTTCGGAGACGCCTGGTAGTAACCGTGGTGCTGCTGCAGCTGGTGCTCCGCCATCATGTAGCTGCCGTTGCTGGTCGGCAACGAGGCGCTGCCGAGGTTCAGCATGGTCCTGCCGCCGGCGGAGCCGTGCGCCGACGGGCTGCTGTGCGACAGCGTCATGGTGAGGTCGGCGCAGCTGGTGATGGGCATGTGGTAGACCTGCGGTTGGGGAGCTGGAGGTCCGATGTGAAGCTCTGTGTCCAAACTTGAAGGGTGCTGCTGCTGCTGCTGCTGCTGCTGCTGAGACCCGGTGGCGACGCTCACCACTCCTCCAGCGCTCATGTCCGGCTTTATGAAAACGTTGTTGACCACAGGCGGCACGTTGAAGACGGAGGTGAAGTCCGGCAGGGCCTGGGTGGAGGTGGGCAGGGAGCAGGGCACCTCCAGGCCCGGCTCTGTCTTGATCTGCTGCGGCGTCAGGGTCTTGGTGTTGGGCCGGTAGAGGCCTGTGCGGAGGTGAGTGGTGCTGGGGAGGATGAGGTTGATGTTGAGGCTGTACGGGGTGGAAGGCTTGTCCTCTGAGAAGTACTCGTCCACCACCGAGGCGCTCTCCCGTCTGTACTTCTTGTCAGTGGCGTCGGTCGAGGGGGTTAGGAGGGAAGCGTTGACCTGGGGGAGGTATTTGTCCAGTTCTAGTCGAGTCTGAAGAGAAAAGGAGGAACTCTGCTTCAGTACTGGAACTACAAATCGTTTTTTAGTGATAAAACCAGACATTTGTTGAAACTAACGAACTCCAGCAGCCTCATCGACTTGCTGCCTGTTGGCCTTTGATTGTTACTACGACTATCGAATTGGTTTCTTTCTCGTCTACGATGCAATTCATGCATCAACTGGTTGAAAATCTACATTTTAAGAGAAACAAACCTCCTGCTTCTTGAGAGATAAACACACAACATCAACTTAAGAGCAGGAAAACAAGCAATGAAGAAATTCTGAGAGGGTTTTCTATCTCCATTGGCTGAAACAGACACAGAATGATCGGTTTGAAAAGGTTTGGGACAAAGCAGCAGCTACTGTTTGGTCAATGTTCCTTAAACGTTGATATTGAAACTGAATGTCTTTGTGAGCACTCTTTGTTTAATTGGCTGCAGATGGGAAAAAGAATAAATCTAATGTAAATAAGCATATATGTCGTGGAGGAGAAAGACAAAGCAGAAGGATTTGACAACAATAAACGTCACCAGGATTTTCTCCTCCATCATCGTCGCTCACATTCCTGTTTCCCGGCAGAACCAGGATCAGTGTCAGAAAGCTGCAGAGGAGATTCACCTGCATTTAGCTTTATGCTACTGCTGCCTCCAGGATGAACTGTTGGAATTCTATGATGCTATCTGTGTTATTACTCTCCCTTTCTTGTCTTTTCTATATAATCATTGTGCAACTGCAGCAACGTTCCCGGACATCTTTACGATATGAAGATACAAAAAGTTTTGCAGCTAATTTACAGCTACAGCCGTCTGTATTTATCTATATGACTGCACAACTGAAAGCTTTTCCCTTTAATAATTAACAGCTGTTTCCCAGAAAAAAGTTCACTGGAACACAAGAAGGGAAGGTGAAGAGTCGGGTTTTATCGTTTCCTTTCATTAAAGAGAAGAAGATGCAATCGAGCCACAGCGAGGGTGAAGTATTGTTGGGTTCAGGGAAAAGAAACGATGGAGGCGGAACAAAAACTCAACAAGAAAACTCAGATTTAACAGCGCGATGTGTTTTAAACTCTCATCTCTTCTTGTCAAGTATGTTTCAGGAGAACTAGAAGGATAAATGTATTCTGTGTAACTGTAAAAAGCATTTCCTTTGGGATTAGCAAAGTTTTATCTTATCTTATTATTATTACCAAGCTTTTTTATTAGGGCTGAGCAATGTCAAATCACAAACAAGGCAATTAGCATTTTAGTTTGCTGCCCCAGTTGTGTTCAAATTTCAGGACATCCTCGTTGTGCGAGTTTGACTTTAAAAAATGATATAAAAATCTAATTAAAGATGCAAAAAAATGCCAAATAATTAGATATTTCCCCCAAGTTCAGCCGCTAAATTAGACACATGTCGAACCAACCGGGTAATTTCACACGGATTTGCTTTTTATTTTCTCTCTTTTCACTAATAAAAGAAAGTAGGACTTTTCTCGGGAGAAACGAGGTGTCAGGTTTTGCAACAGCAAAGCGTTAAACAGCACAATAGTCTCAAAATCTGCTGCTCATCAAGAGAGGAGCGTTTTGGAGCAGCAGGACCGGACAGGCAGAGCGCAGAAGAAAATAAACTGCAGGTATTTATAAGTCTCTGTTTAAGCAGAAGGCATTATCTGATCTTCATCCCTGATTAACTGGTGTGTGCAGCAGCGTATTTGTGTGTGTCATTCAGAGTCAATGAAGCAAACGGTGACTTGTTCGGCGGTTCGCAAGAATCCCAGCGGCAGAGACCACACACAAAGCAGGAGTGCACGCACACGCATGGCAGCCCTGCAGCGCAAAGAGCGAAATTTGCCTTTTTGCCATGCATGCAGGAATGTTTATGCACGACGACTTACAAACAGGAAGAGAGTTCCCTGTGTGGGTGTGTCTGACAGTTTGATGCATGAAGAAGAAGAAGGAGAAAAAAAAAAGAAGCACCCAGACGAACCAAAACAAAGGCTAAAGGCATGAGAAAGACGCAGCAAAACCTAAACACCGTCAGGTAAAAATAGACCTGCCAGACGAATCTGATCCTCGCGATGACAACAGATACACAGAGAGGATGACGGGAGGGAGGACAGACCACAGAAACAAAACAAAAAAAAAACAGAAGGAAATGAAGAAAGTCCACAAAACAGAGAGAGCGAGAGAAAACTATGTGAGGGACAAAAGCGAGCAGGCAATTATGAAAGTGATACCGATGTGTGAATGAATGTAATCTGATTTGGAAGCTGCAAACCAACCGCTGACGGGAAATCTGCACGTTTCTGAGAAATCTGGAAATAAATATTCCACAGAAAGTCTGAGTCTTACAAAATGTATAATTTCAGCACAGGTTTAGTGCGATTAGGGATTAAAATGAGCCAATTCTGTATTTCCATATTCCAACATTTTGGATTAAATTGAGCCCAGAAGCCAATAAAGTTGCTTCATAGTGGATCTCTGACTGGATGAGCTGCACCCCCGTCACCCAGAAAGTCCTGAACTGAATCGAGCCATTCGGAGCAAATGACCCAACGAGGTGCTGACGTGCTCGAGGTCGCGTCCAGCAGCTGAACCGGCTGCACAAAGGAGCAGAGAAAGCCCGTTTCAATGCTGTTATTCTGCAGCGCTGCTTCAAGTGCCAGCGACGTCAACACACACTCGTCCCTCTGCTAATAACCCGCTGATGGGCTTCCATACACAAACCTGGGCGGCTGGTTGCTCAATGGGGCTGAGGTGTGTGTGTGTGTGTTCTGCATGAATGTGTTTATTCAGAAATCAACAATTATGTGTCTGTCTGTTGTAATATGTTCTGCTGTTTTTTGTTGCTGTTTAAAACAATGCGTACGATTCCACATAACCTGCATGAACGCTACGCATGGATTGTTTTTTCTTTTGCTTCTCAGCCTGACGTCTTTATTTTCCTCTACAGTCTTTGTAATTAACACGCTTATTTCCTGAACATGGTTTTGTTTGAGCCTGTTTTTCGTGTGAGAGCCACTATCGTACACCTTTTTGTGTCTCAGTAACTTTGCGCCCTGCACGATGCATGTCAAGCCGTTGGTCGCAGGTGAACTCTCACCGCCTTGTCATCGCTGCAATCTGAGCACCTGCCGAAACGAAACTCTCGGGTATTTACAGCGGAAACAAGACAACAAAAACAGCCTCTCTGTTTCCTGCCCACTGAGGGCTCCTGTTTGCCTTTCAGGACGGGACACAGCCAGGTTCTGTGGTTCTGTGGTTCTGGCAGCTGTAAGCGCCCTCGGTCATGTCCCCTGCTGCTGTTGATGTGTTTGGCTATCAGCCTCTGCTCTCTGCATCTTTCCTCTGTTTGGCCTCTTTTCTGGGATGCAGAAAGAGGCTTACAGGGAAAGTTCAGGGTCATCAATAAGGAGAGGTTGTTATATCGAGCAGATTTTAACTTGTGCATAAATGTAAAACTATGTGTGAAGCAGAAGACGAAGGACATGGCTCGTTCAGCTGAGCCGCTTCAGCGGCCAACGTCACACACAAGTAGTTAAAAATGGTTTGGTCAGCATAGAGAAAAATGTCCACTAGGCTTCTTTTCTTTTCTTTTTTATGGCTGATGAATCGATTGTTAATCCACCAAATTATGGGTTAAGAAAGCTGTTCAAAAACTTGCATCCCTATTCGCAGATTGAAGGTAAACTGAGTTGCGAGCAGGCTAGCTCGCAACTCAGTTTACCTTTAGCTCGTGAGGATCTACGCCAGGGATCTCCAGCTCCGGTCCTCGTGAGCTACGGTCCTGCAGGTTTTCCAAACTGCAACACACCTGAGTCAAATTAACGGATCATTAACAGACTTGTGTAGAACTTGACAACAAGCTGTTGGAGGTCCGTTAATGTGAGTCAGGTGTGTTGCAGTATGGAAACATCTAAAACCTGCAGGACAGTAGCTCACGAAGACCGGAGTTGGAGATCCCCGATCGACGCAATCATACAGCAGAAGCTCTTGTCAAAAGAAAAAAAAATACAGAAATGAGCTACCAAACCGGTCCAAACGCTCACAGCCCAACTTACATTTAGAGCTAGTTGCTAACGTTGTACAGCAAACCACCCACCAGTAAAAACAACATCCTTACAACTCATAAATCATTTAAAACAAGTCTCTGCCCACAGCAAGTTCCTCCTCTTTCACCGTTTTCACTTCAAAAACGAAAACCTCTCGTCAGGCCTCGCAGCCTTCAGGAACAAGTTTTCAATCCAATAAACTCCAGCAGACATCACAGTCATAATATCAACAGCTTAAACAAACCATTGCTTGTTTTTTTTATCGTCTGTTCTACGATTGCCTTATTGGTAAAACTTTCATACATTAAAGAAGAGACACGGCGACCTCAAAGCGAACTAGTTGATGAACAACAGTTCCGAATGTCTCTGTATCATTTTATGTGGTGAACGAGGAGAATATCTTTGGCCAGAGACGGAGTCGGTTAATAATTGGAGAACATGTACAACAGTTCTGCTATGAATCCTTCTGCCTGATAACAACAGTCTCTTATCAGCTGTGCTCGGGTTTATGGGCTGGAGTGGGAGTTTCCACACATCCGGCCAGTTTGACATCCATCCTTAAAGGACCTTTGTATACTTTTATGTCCAGGCACGACATAAAGCTCGTACTTTACATTATTGCTAAAGAATTTACAACGCTGCTCTATAGATTAGTAAACCCTCGTCGACATTTTGACCAGAAGTTTCCGTTCAGCCCTAAACCCAACAGTAGTGGGTTGCTGTGGGACGGAGGCTGCTTCTGCTGACAAGGCTGGATGCAGCTGATATGATTCTGAAAAGTCTGCACTTTGGCAACACATATCATCACCTAATTGATATAGTTTTAGCCAAACAATGTCTTTGTGAGCATGCTAACCAACAAAAAACCTTTCATCCTCAGACACGTTTGCTAAAATCGTTGCTAGAGAATAACGCAGCAGACGAAAAAAAAAAAAAAAACCCAGAAAAATGATCAAAG